ACTTTTATGTTTATGTTTATCTTATAAGCAGGAACACTCATTGCCTTTTATTCCAGGTTCATTTTTCAAGATTATACAGCAAACAGCCTAGGCAGATAGAGATAGTGACTCCCTGCAAAGCAAAAACCAGGTATTCTTGCTGCCCATTTTAAAACATTTTAAAACCGTAAGCTCAGGGTTCCTCTCCTGTAAGGCAATCCACTATCTGTATTGCAATGATCTGGGCTTAGCCATGTTGCCCCCATGGGACCTGGACGCAAGAAGAACTGATACAAGCATGTTATTCGTACCACTTGCTGCACAATGAGTAAGCAAATCTTTTATGTCCCTGACCCAGAAGTCTTATGACTTTTGCCCGCATCCGTTAAACTGTGGCAGGCTAACACGTTGACTTGCAAAGAACTGAAATCCCTTTTTAGTTCTTCAAATGTATCAATGTTAATAATCTGATTTAGGTGGTTGTGCTGAAGTTTAATAGTCTTATGTCCTTGTTCGTCAGAAATACCCACTAAAGTATTTAGGGGTGATGGAGTTTCATGTGGGAAAGTTACTACTAAGAAAAAAACAAGGATTTTATACTGTACTTCTGACCTCTCTGTATGTTTGAGATTGTTTCCATTTTTTTTTTTAAAGATTGATCAGTCAGTTGAAGTGATATTAGCTTGATCCATTCAATAAAAAGTTCCCCATCAACTTTTTTTTAACTAGACTTTTTTAGAGAAGTTTTAAGTTCACAGCAAAACTGAGTAGAAGGTATAGATTTTCCATGTAGTCCCTGCCTCCACATGCACACAACCTCCTCCGCTAACAACATACTTCATCAGAGTGGGACATGTTACCATCCATTAACCTACATTAACACATCATTAGCCCCAAAGCTCACGGTTTACACTAGGGTTTATTCTTGGTTCCCTAAAAATCCCCCGTGTTCTGCTTATTTATCCCTCCCTTCCCCATAACCACCGACAACCCCTGATCACTTTACTGTCTCCACAGCGTTGTATTTTCCAGAATGTCACATTGCTGGAATCATACAGTATATAGCCTTCTCAGAACTTGGGCTTCTCCCACTTAGTGAGATGCATTTAAGCCTCCATCATGTCTTTTCATAGCTTGATAGTTCATTTCTTTTTAGCTCTAAACAATATTTCATTGTCTGGATGTGTCACAATTTATTTATCTATCCATCTACTGAAGGACACCTTTTTTGCTTCAAGTTTTGGCAATTACACGTAAAGCCTCAATAAAAGTCCGTGAGCAGGTTCTAGTGTAGACATCAGTTTTCAGTTCACTTGGGTAAATACCAAAGAGGGTAATTGTTGGATCATATGGTGAGAGCATATTTAGTTTTAAAAGAAATGGCCAACTGTGTTACAGCCAAAAGTGGCTGCATCATTTTTCATTCCCACCGGCAATGAATGAGAGCTGCTATTCCTCCACATTCCTGCCAGCAGATGATGTTCTCAATGTTTCGGATTTTGGCTATTTTAATAGGTACACAGCTTAATCTCATTGTCTTAATTACAATTCCCTAATGATGTTGAGCTTTTCATATGTGTGTTTCCCATCTGCACATCTTCTTTGATGAAGTATCTGTTCAGGCCTTTTGCCCATTTTGTAATCTGGTTGTTTATTTTCTTATTGTTGAGTTTTAAGGGTACACTGCATATTTTGGGTAACAATCCTTTTCTAGACATATATTTTGCAAATATTTTCACCTGGTCTGTAGCATATAATCTTATTTTCTTGACCATTAAATTTGTATTTAATGTTTTGGCATCCATTGAAGATTATTGCCTAGACTATTTCATTAGAGATGCAAGGAGATCCAACCAGTCCATCCTGAAGGAGATAAGTCCTGGGTGTTCATTGGAAGGACTGATGCTGAAGCTGAAACTCCAATACTTTGCCCACCTCATGTGAAGAGTTGACTCATTGGAAAAGACCCTGATGCTGGGAGGGATTGGGGGCAGGAGGAGAAGGGGACGACAGAGGATGAGATGGTTGGATGGCATCACCGACTCGATGGGCATGAGTTTGAGTAAACTCCGGGAGTTGGTGATGGACAGGGAGGCCTGGCATGCTGTGATTTATGGAGTTGCAAAGAGTCGGACACGACTGAGTGACTGAACTGAACTGAACTGAAATTATTTTCTAATTCATTTATTTCTCCTAAATTTATTAGCTGTAATTTTTCCATAAGGAAGAACTTTTCCTTATCAGTTATTTGGATGTTCTAAAATGAAATTTATACAGGAGAAGCAGAAAAAATGCCTTTTTCCCTTTATTTTCAAAGTTCTAACTTGTGGCCTTAGGGAATGACCAAGGAAATTTGTTTCTGATTGTTTGTTTGCTTCAGATGAACTCATAATTTTTTATGCATTTAATGTTTTTAATCCATGTAGTTATTTTTTCCTTTTGATGTTCAAATTTCCCATCTGAGCCCAGTAAAAGCCCCTTCAAGATTAATCAAATGCCTTTTTGTCATGATTTTATTAGTTTTTGATTGCTTTCCTGCTTTGGGCACAGTAAGATATTACAGGTTCATTTTGGACATTTCTTGCCTGGCTCTGAAATCATCCATTTCTCTAAGAAGCACTGACACCTTTTAGTAGAGAGCTGGTGTTTAGAGGTGGCACTATAAGAGCTACAGGTGTTTGTTGCTATGGCATTGTCATTAATTCCTGCTTTTTTTAGTGGGTAGAGCTAAGATATATGCATTAAATCATGTGTCCATGTTGATATTTACAAGGTTTATATAACTTCTTTGATTTTATCCTTTTTCCTACATACTAAAAACCCTGGTTCCTAACAACCCAACAGAATTATTTACCTTATATTATTACCTTATGTTACACAGCACTACACTTATACTACAGATATACTATAATGATTTCAGAATAACAACACTTCCATAAATCACAAAGTCTTAGAAACACTAAGTATACTGAATGCAGTATTTCTTTGTGGTTCTTATTTGTTCTTAAAATAGATTTTACTAGGCATGTACAGTCAAAATATTGGACTTTATCTCATGTTAGGGGCATCAACAGTCTTGTTTTGCCTAGGACCGTGGGGTTTCCCCAGATTTATGCTAAACCCTGGTCACAGGTTTGGTCACCCTACTTGGAGTAATTCTCTACTTGGTATGATTAGCCACTAATTTGACTTAGAGTTAAGTTCGTTCGTTTCAAGTTGTTTTCAATTTTTGAGGAATTCTTGGGGTTTTTTTAGCATAAAACATTTTTCCAAAGGCAAAGTCATATAATGAGTCACAATCAGAGAAGTCTAGCTTCTATCTCAACCGTCTTCATTTTATTCTCTCTCTCCCTTTAGAGATAGAGCTATCATTGCCAGCAGGTTTTGGTTGTTTATTCTACCATTATTGCTTTTTTGAAAATGTAAGCAAGTACATACATGTAGTAATACCTCCCTTTCTTACACAAAAGATAGTAATCTATGAACACTATTTGCATATTTTTGAGTTTTTTTGGCCATGTCATATGGCTTGTGGGATCTTAGTTGCCTGACCAAGGATTGAACCCTGATCACGGCAGTGAAAGCTCCAAGTCCTAACCACTAAACCACCAGGGAATTCACAAATAACATTTTTGTATTTATTTTTATTTATTTGGCTGCATTGGGTCTTAGTTGCAGCATACGGGGTCTTCAATTTTCATTGTGGCATGCAGGATTTTTTATTAATAGTTGCAGCATGAGGGATCTAGTTTTCTGACCAGGGATCGAACCCTGGCCTCTGGCATTGAGGAGCAAGGAGTCGTAGCCACCGGACCACCAGGGAAGTCCCACTCCCCATGTATCATTTTTAAAAGTTTTTCCAGAACCGCAAATCCATATACCTAAATAATCACACTTGTCTTAAGAACGGCCCTAAACCTAAGGTTCCAGAATTGGGGAAGAAAATCCAACAAGCTGGGGACTGAAGGACACGAATAAGGCAGGTTAACTGAGACAGAGAATGCCAAATTTTCTCTCTTCACCAGACCCCTAGCATTGCCTACTCAACCCCAAATAGTTTTTAACATTATTGCTGAGTTCAGGCTTAGGGCAGGGAGGAATTTAATACAATGATGAGTCTTAGATGGTGAGGGTAATTGCTTTCAGCTTCCAGCTTGCGGAGGATAGGAAACGGGTGATGAGAAGCAGTAGGAAGGGCCGTCTCCTGGTCCAGAGTGAAAGGCATAGAGCTGCTCAGCCGTCTGCTGTGACGGGATCGTCAAAGCCATCAGGAGACATGTGAGCTGCTCTCTTGGCTGTGTGAGACTCCACACTGGAGCTCTTGGTACACGGCATGCACGGGAGCCTCACGAGGGAAAGACCTCAGGGCCTGGAAGAGGAATCACTGATGAGATGCAGTGAGTTCCTTGAATGGAGAAGGGAACAGGCTCCCAGTGATGAGCCAATCTCATGTCTTGGCAAATTAGGCCCTGCACCCTGCAACTTAGGCACAGGCCGTCTGTGGCTGCCAGAGCGTTCTAGGCAGGGCTGCCACGACCTGTGGGCCTAAGCGGTGGCTGCTGACCTGGCGTAACTCACGGACAGACCCAAGCTCCCCCTGCCCTCTCTGACTTCCTTTGGAAAGGACACAGTTTCTTGAGCTCTTATTTATGACAATAAAAGTAGGATATCCTCTCTTGAATGTCGCTCTTCAAATGAACTTTTGCCAGTAGGGAAAATGTGATAGGGATGCTCTTGCTAAATCCAGTAAGAAATTCAGAGTCATGTGTGGAGGTGGAGGAAGAAGATGGCTAGAGCAAGACCCCTGAGGCTGACTGCACGGGATTGAATCCTGGCCGTCTTGTGCTTTAGAGGGATCTGGACATCCGACTCTTCTTTGACTGCCTTTATTTCTCAAAATAAAAGGGAGGGAGGAGGGGGCATTTCCTAACATAAAGTTGCTATTCACCTATAGTGGGTTGAAATGTGGCCCCCGAAAGATACGGCCATTGAAATCTCAGAATGTGGTCTTTTTTGGAATAATGGTCTTCGCAGATGTTAAGGATCTAGAGATGAGATCATCCAGATTTAAGGTAGGTCCTAAAGACAATGACTAGTACTAGAGGAAGGACAAGGAGATTAGAGACCCAGAAAGACAAAAAGAAAGCTCTGTGAAGACAAAGTTAGAGATTGGAGTGGTGCATCTACCAGTCAAGGAATGGACACTACGCACCTGACTACTAGCCTTCAGAAGTATGAGAGTACATTTTCCCTCAGGTAATAAAATAGACTGAGGAATATCTGCTTCTCGGGCTTTTAAATAAGAACAACTATTCAGGGAACCCAGCTGGGTCCTTGACACGTGGAAGTGTTCAGAAACATTTGACCCTCTGTCTTTCCCTATCCAAATTCCTACAAGACACCCAATAGGAGCTTCAAACTCGACATGGCCCAAAATGACCTCCTTGAAGCCCTTCAAAACCTACCCTTAATTTCCAGATCCAGTTAATAACATTGTCACCCTTCTGTCTTCCAAGCCCAAACTTAGGAACTAGAAGAGAAGCGTGGAAGGGAGCCTCTCAGAGGCTCCAAAAGAAACCAGCAGCCCTGTTGACATCCAATTACTGGCCTCCAGAACTATGAAAAAGTACATTTCTGTCATTTCAAGCCAGGTTGATGGTAATTGGTTACGGCAGCCCAGGGAAATCGATATAGAGCCTCAAGAGCAACAAAGCCTGGGACATAGTTCCCCGAGTAAGAGCTTGGTAAATACTAGCGAGGATCACTCAGCTCAGCTGAAACAAAGCACAGTCAGCTAAGAGGATACAGCAACTGGATGATGAGGGTGGGCACAAAGCCAGAACCAGGCAGGAAAGAGGTCCTGGGATCATCCATGCATCATCCACTGCTGCTCAAGTGTGCAGAGGAGAATACGAGCTGATCCTTGGCTTTGAGGAGCTTGTTATCTCATGTGCAAAAAGCATATACCCAGACTGTCTCTCTAAGATGCAGCTTTCATCGATGTCCTGTTGACTCTCAAATGCTCACCTCTAGGGTAGGCTTATTGATGGATCAACTCCAGAATTACAGGATCCTATGACACTAGGTTGGAGTTTTCCATCCTTACCTTTCCAGCTGGTGAGCTTGGGTAAATTGCTCAACATCCATAAATCGCAGTCTCCTCAGGTATGAAAATAGTCTGAGGAATTTTAAATGAGAACCCCTACTCAGGGCACCCAGCTGGGTGCTTGACACGTGGAAGTGTTCAGAAACACTTGACCCTCTGTCTCTATCCAAATTCCCACAGGATGCCTGTTAGGAGCTTCAAACTCGACATGGACCAAAGTGACCTCCTTGAAGCCCTCTTCCTTCAAACCTGCCCTTCCCCTTAATTTCCAGATCCAGTTAATGACATTGTCACCCTACTATCTTCCAAGGCCAGACTTAAAAATTTTCCTATCATCTTCTCTCTTTTCTCAGCCCTTGCATCTGATGGTCACAAGACCCTTTTGGTTTTGCCTTCCAATGAGTTCTCAGGTCTATCACTTTTCTGGCCAGTTCTGCTGCCATTGTCTTCATTTGGGCATTTCTCAGAGTCCTTCCAGGGGTCTCCTTGCTCTATCCTAATAACCATGCCTCATCCCTCAGCCCCCAGGTTCTAGTCCTTCCTCTGCTTTACCATTGGAGCTATGATCTTCAAATCTGATCTTGTTCTTCTGCTGTTTTTAATCTTCCCATTGTTCCTGTTAACCTAGATGGCAGAGGTCAGGATCAGCATGCACTCTGAGAGCATAGGAACCCAGGAGCACTGAAGACTGATGTATGAAATCCCAGATGCTCAGATGCCCAGTGAGACAGGAAATAAGAGATGAAAGGTAAAACAGGACAACCAGACTCAAACAGACTCCTGGTCACACCTGTCTTCTGCCTGTGGGGCTGAATCTTGAATTAATTGTTAGGAATAGGGCTGCAGAAGAGTGCAAGCAAGATTATCCTCTTTCTTTGAATCTGGGACTGAGAACCAGAGTCAGCTTAAATAAACTGAGAAGGGAAATGTTCCAAAATTAGAAAGCTGCTGTGATTTTCCACATTTTCTGAAGCCTTAGGTTAGCAGAGCAAGCATTTATGAGTTGTCAGCCATGACAGCTGTACATTCAATGAGAAGTAAAAAAAAAATACTTTCTTGCCATTCTCCCACCTTCCCTGAGTAGGACACTCCAGCCACAATTCTTTCCAAATGCACCAGAGTTTTATGTCTCAGGGCCTTTGCACATGCTATTCTATATTTATTTCTTTCATTTGGGATTATCTATCTCCATTAGCATGCAAGCTCCAATGAGATCAAGCCTAGAATAGTGCTTGGTACATAGCAAGTGCTCAATAAAAACACAGTGAAAGAACAATGCTGTGCCTTCTGCTTGGAGCACTTGCCCCCTTGCCTGTCTAGGAAACATCTATCTATCCTTGGAGACTCAGTTTCTATGTGGCCTTGGACAAATCTCCCTGATCCTGACTCTCTCTCCCTCTCCTAATGCACTCCCTCTTGTGGACCCTTTGGCGTTTCTCACTGTTCTTCTAGGATTGCACTTGTGCCATTTACAAGCCTGTCACCTCTAGGAGACCATGAACCACAGGGACAAGGGCCAAGCATTGCTGACAGGGGATAGCACGCCCAGCCAGGGACAGCTGCTGAGCACCATGGATCATGCGTGTTCGGGAGAACAGGGAGGGGAGGACCCAGGTCTGCCTGGAGGGTGCGGGGAGGCGAGGTCAGAGAGGGACTGCCAGGAGATGGGAAGTTGGCGGAAGAGAGATGGAAGATGAGTCTTCCAGGGGACAAAGAGACAGTCCACGAGAGAAAAGACATCTCAAGCTCTTTTCTAGGGAGTCTTTTGAGGAACATGCTACTAAGGACTCCTGAGCTGTCCAACCCGAGTCCAAAAAAAGGGGTTGAGTGGGTGACAGGGGCTTCCCTGGCAGCTCAGACGGTAAAGAATCTGTCTGCAATGTAGGAGACCGAGGTTCGATTCCTGGGTTGGAAAGATCCCCTGGAGAAGGAAATAGGAACCTACTCCAGTATTCTTGCCTGGAGAATCCCCATGGACAGAGGAGCCTGGTGGGCTACAGTCCATAGAGTCTCAGAGTCAGACACAACTGAGCGACTAACACACAGTGGGTGACATCATGGCCTAGGCAGCAGCATCTGTGCTGCCCACCTGAGCCAGCAGCCACCCCAGCAGGCCCCTGCTCCAAGCCTGGGTGGAAGGCAGAAATGAGAACATGCAAATCGCTATTCCAGCAGCAGTTTTGCCTGCAAGAAATTTCGAAGACCACACAATAGAAGTGTTCAAATAGATGGTTTCAAGTAGCCACAGTGTAATGAGATCAAGACTCCCAGACTGCCAGCATGGAGCACGGACAGCAAAAATACCATTTACGGCCAGCTTAGGAATCCTATTTGCATAAAACTTATGAACCTGAAAGCACACACTCCCTACCTAGGGAAAACCAGCAAGATCTCTCCTGGCCTTTGTTTCTCTGGCTGGGGGCTGCCTATCAAGTGAATAAGCCTTTGTGATGAGAGATTTCTCCTAAGCTAAACAGGCTACTCCTAAGGGATTCCTAAATATACAAACACATTCTTTCAGATACTTTCTTTATAACTGCATTGAAGAAATAAAGCTTCTCTGCTTAAACTGTTTTACAATCTTTAAATTCCCTGCCCACCCCCCTGACACACCCTTCATACCCCACCTTCATATCTACCATCCACGCCCAGAACATCGCACATTTAGTGCATCCGGAGTATGTGCATATCAACAAAGACTGGCCAGGGTGCTGGGAATTTTCTAAAGTCTTCATTCTCCTGGGCTGATCTTGAAGTTCATTAAGGCACAAGTTCTTTTAGAGGAAAAACACCCCTAAAAGGCTCAGGTGAACTTTTTCCTAGATAAATTGAGAGGGTTGAATTATATGAAGTTTGAAGTCCCTTCAAGCATTTTAGAATTCTCAGTTACCGAAAGAAGAATGGAACTGGAGGAATCAATCTGCCTGACTTCAGACTATACTACAAAGCCACAGTCATCAAGACAGTATGGTACTGGCACAAAGACAGAAATATAGATCAATGGAACAGAATAGAAAGCCCAGAGATAAATCCACGAACCTATGGTCACCTTATCTTTGACAAAGGAGGCAAGGATATACAATGGAAAAAAGACAACCTCTTTAACAAGTGGTGCTGGGAAAACTGGTCAACCACCTGTAAAAGAATGAAACTAGAACACTTTCTAACACCATACACAAAAATAAACTCAAAATGGATTAAAGATCTAAAAGTAAGACTAGAAACTATAAAACTCCTAGAGGAGAACATAGGCAAAACACTCTCTGACATAAATCACAGCAGGATCCTCTATGACCCACATCCCAGAATTTTAGAAATAAAAGCAAAAATAAACAAATGGGACCTAATGAAACTTAAAAGCTTTTGCACAACAAAGGAAACTATAAGCAAGGTGAAAAGACAGCCCTCAGATTGGGAGAAAATAATAGCAAACGAAGCAACAGACAAAGGATTAATCTCAAAAATATACAAGCAACTCCTCCAGCTCAACTCCAGAAAAATAAATGACCCAATCAAAAAATGGGCCAAAGAACTGAACAGACATTTCTCCAAGGAAGACATACAGATGGCTAACAAACACATGAAAAGATGCTCAACATCACTCATTATCAGAGAAATGCAAATCAAAACCACAATGAGGTACCATTACACACCAGTCAGGATGGCTGCTATCCAAAAGTCTACAAGCAATAAATGCTGGAGAGGGTGTGGAGAAAAGGCAACCCTCTTACATTGTTGGTGGGAATGCAAATTAGTACAGCCACTATGGAAAACAGTGTGGAGATTTCTTAAAAAGCTGGAAATAGAACTGCCATATGACCCAGCAATCCCACTTCTGGGCATACACACCGAGGAAACCAGATCTGAAAGAGACACATGCACCCCAATGTTCATAGCAGCACTGTTTATAATAGCCAGGACATGGAAGCAACCTAGATGCCCATCAGCAGACGAATGGATGAGGAA